TGTGGAGAAGAGCCTGTTGAGCCAAGTCCTTAGGACAAGGTCACTGGAGGGTCTTTTCTTTTGAGTTGGTGGCCCGTGGTGGTTGCAAAAGAAGACCTTTGAATCCTTTTTTTTTTTCCACTCATTTCAAGACTCAATGGGCACGCGCGGCGAGGCGGGGTTTTATGATAATGATTTCTGGTAATTGTATTGAATATGCATGATAATTCTGATGAATGTAATGATTATGTATGATTTCCTATAATATAAACTTTACTTCATGTGCTGTCAGGTATGCACAATAGGTGGAGTGATCCCCTGTGCACCCAGCACTGCAATAAAGAATCACACAGAATCACAGAATGTCAGGGATTGGAAGGGACCTCAAAAGATCATCCAGTCCAACCCCCTGCCAGAGCAGGAACCTAAATGAGATCACAAAGGAAAGCATCCAGGTGGGTTCTGAATGTCTCCAGAGAAGGAGACTCCACACCCTCCCTGGGCAGCCTGTCCCAGGGCTCTGGCACCCTCACTGTAAAGAAGTTTCTTCTCAAGTTTAAGCAGAACCTCCTGTGTTCCAGCTCACACCCATTACCCCTTGTCCTACCATTGGGCATCACTGAGAAGAGCCTGGCTCCATCCCCCTGACATTCACCCTTGACATATTTATAAACAGTAATGAGGTGCCTGCTTCTTAAGACTACATTGGTGTTAAGAAGTTTATTCCCGATTTCAGTGACAATTTCACATCAGCAAGGGCATGTCTCTGGGTCAGTTTGCAAAACAGCTCTCCTTCTGCAAGCTCACACCCCATCTGGCATTGCACATCTTGTGCAGCCAGCACAGGAGAGACATCCTCTCCCCTATGTTGGACCTCACAAACATGCCAGAAGCTGTCGGAGGAGCCCGTTTCTTCCCGACGGCACCTGGCAGTGCTCTCCTGCCTACCCACACTCACAAGGCTCACCCTGGCTGGTCTAAACGCAGATGCTATTCTTATTCATGTGAGTATCTAATCCTTTCTCCACTCTTCCTAAGCTATTTTTATATGATGATTATTCCTGGAATACATTCATTCTATGCTAATCATTTGGCCACAACGTTCACAAAGGAGAAGCAGCAGCAATTTGTTCTCCAACCATCATCATTTTCAATACATGCCAATGTTCCTTTTTTTTTGTGAGGAACTGTATCAACAACAACAAAAATAATCAGTAAATACTCTCTGCCCATCACTTTCTTATTTTTTTTCCTTCCTAAAAACCAAACCAACCTCAAAACAACAAGCAATATTATATCCGGATGGAGTTACTTCTGCATAGATATTTGCTTTAATTGCAAAAATAATCTCACCACCAGGGAGGAAGTCAGTGGAGAAAATTGGTCTTTTGGATGCGGTACCAAGCTGTTCTATAAACAATTTCAAGAGAAAAAAAAAAAAAGGTTGAAGATTTTTAGGAAAGCTGTTACATATGAAATAAATGCTTACTGTTTATTTACTTTGAGGAAACGATGGAGATTAAAAACAAGTGTCCCATCAGGTAATACTCCTTCCACAGGATTCCACCGGCTCCCAGGAAAATAAATGCCAGGTAAATGCTTTGCCAGTTTGGGTAAATACCATTCGTAAGTCATCATCTATCACCAAAAATATAAGAAAAATTAAAACAAGAAACAAAAGGTTTCATCCATTTTCTATCCAGAAGCTGCAGAAAATGGTTTCTGCGGGAGGAATGACTTTATTTGCTCAGTAAGGTCACCTCCCATTTCAGCAAGTGCCTGGGACCACCGCAGCAGACCAGGTCACCAGTGGCTTGTGATCAGAGGCACATGGTCCTCCCTGTTGAGGAGGTAAAGGAAACATGAAATAACTACCACTGCTAAGAGACACTATAGGGTTTGGTTTAGTTTGGTTTGGTTTGGTTTGGTTAAATACGAGTTTTGGGTCGGGTTTTGGGTTTCTCAACAAGTCACAAGCCCTTGCTGCAAAGCCAAGTGCAAGGACTAGAGTTGGGGCTGTTCAGCCTGGAGAAGAGAAGGCTCCAGGGAGATCTTATAGCGGCCTCCCAGTACCTGAAGGGGCTACAGTAAAGCTGGGGAAGGATTTTTCATAAGGGCAGTTAATGACAAAACAAGGGGAAATGGGTTTAAGCTGAAAGAGGGTGGGTTTAGATTAGATATTAGGAAGAAGTTTTTCACTGTGAGGGTGGTCAGACACTGGAACAGGTTGCCCAAGGAAGTTGTGGCTGGTCCTCCCTGGAAGTGTTGAAGGCCAGGTTGGATGAGGCTTTGAGCAACCTGGTCTAGTGGAAGGTGTCCCTGCTGATGGCAGGGGGGTTGGAACTGGATGAGCTTTAAGGTCCCTTCCAATCCAAACCATTCTATGATTCTATGACTGATGTGGCAGGGGAAGG